AAACGTCAACTCAATTAAAACGATACATCGAGGATATTCAACTGAAATTACAACACTTAAACAAATCATTTCAGATTTGTAATCCTCTCTAATCGTAAGCAAATCCGATAACAAATGGAAGAAACGGAAATGCAACTGCACAGTTTATATTGATTGAACGTCCCACAAACAGTTTTAATTTTTGATCAATTAATCGCAAAAAAACACTATAATCGTCTCCGTAACAACACTCATCTGCGTTGTAACAGTGAAAATGTGTTCGTTATAAAACATCATTGTAAGTCTCATAGCAACACGTTTAAATCGCCTAATTCGAAGAAAGTAATCTATAAAAGTGCACACTTTTGAGTAATTACAAGAACAAGAAGATTTTCTTCTCATTCCTTCCTACTGACTAGGCACCAGCTTTCTTTCGTGGAACAAAGCTTTCGATCGAATTTATAGCTCAAGTAAAACTTAAGCACATCTGACGTCTTCATGTGTGGGAGTCGTACTTATCGTTCGGCCGTTCGTTGTTATAAGCAGAGCTTTTAGGCCGTTGTTACACACATACCAGGGGTAGACGTGGTAATTCGAAATGTGGCACACATCCAATCTTGATAATGTAATGTGGCAATCCAGAATTTAATTACAGGTATTTGTTCAGGTTCTGTGAAGCATTGAGTTGGGAGAAATTATGTAAAATTGAAGTAACTATCAAAAAGACATCGGTGGAAGTATTTCAGCAGAATATGAGAAGAAAACAATTCGACACAGAAAAGAATAATGTCGAATGCGAGTCTGAGCGAAACGGCAAAATGAGAATTTCGCTACCCCACACCATTTGTTGAAAAGCTGGGCAAGATCATCTTCGAAGCACTCCATTAGGGAATAAACGGAAACTGTTTTCACTGATCGTGAGGAAGACTGCATTCAGTATGGCATTTGCCTTCTGTACGTTTTGATGTTAAGAGGCAATTGTACAGATGAGAGTATAATTGGATATTAGAAAATGTAAATTAACCAGATAGAATAAGGAGATGACCAGAACTAGAAGCAGTAATGTACAGATTACAGAATTCAACGAATAGCAGATGACAGAATGTTGATGAAATAACAAATTCTAGACATGCAATGTGTACCAAAACCAGGATTTTAACATAAAAGGCGGATAAAATATGATCAGATTTATAGATACAGGCCAAATCATAGCTTAGCTCAAGTTCGGCTGCATTCCAGTTCAGGCGGAAAGTTTTACTTGGAATCGAGTGGTGGTGTATCATTGTCATAAAAGGCTGATGTGATTTGAACAAATTGAAAAATATCTCCTTTCACAGCTATGAAAGTTTTTGTTACATTCAAACGACATATATGAATATTAGATGAAAATTTTCAGTTCAAGTGAAATGATTTCCATCAGTTCAAGTGAAACAAAGTTGATGAAGAATTTGCATGCGCATGAAAATTNAAGTGGATTAAGATTCATCATTCAAGATCGGCGACGTACCTTAGGTGGTCGGGGGGTGGATTCGAAAATGGAGAGTTTGTTGAATTTTATGCTGCGATGTGGTCTTGCTTACACGACGTGTTTGCTGTTCGCGATCAGCGCATGTGCCATCCGCACTTCAGCAATTTCGATCCTCTATCTGATTTTCTTAACTGCATACGTGTATACTGCCCAGGTAGGCAAGCGATCTTCTCAAATCACATTTCTTATTTCAGGAAGTTTTTCAGTTTCTCTCAACAAATTTGAAACAAATTCAGTGATTTCATAAAACTGAAAGAATAGAAAAACTATTTGGTTGGAGAGCTGATCAAAGAATTTGCATATTCTTTCATTTGCAAAAAAATTATTTCCATACCACAAACTTGATCAACTGTTAAAATAATGATAATAAAATTAACATATGAATGATACCATATTATTTCTAGATGTATTATTCATTCATATGGGAACGTAGCCATAATGCCTTCACAATATTGGGCGTTTTTAATGCCTTCGCAATTTTACTTCATATCGTCGATTGTTGTTACGAAAATAGTTTCACCAAATCATTGCTTTATTCAAATTTGATCGATGAATTCAAAAACCCTCAGAACAGAAGTAAGTCGCTCAATCTATTACAAATATGATCTTCATTCTTCGAAAATACAATTCTTTTTGCTGCACAGTACATTTTACAGATGCTTTTGATTGTTAGCATCTTGTCAGTTTTAGTATTAGATGTTCGAGATATTCGTCATTGTCGGACCGTTTCATTCATGTCTAATGAAATGCAAATGCCGAGGGACGATTACTGACTGAACTGCAATCATACCGATTTATTCCCTAAACTGCACTCTCAACCTATTCGTTGATTAAGTTATTAACAGTTCAACCCAAATACCCAGAATTGAATTTCTTGATGAAAACTAATTGACAAAAGCAAAAGTTCAATTCCATGATGTGCTCATGCCTCATTTGTGTCATACATGGAGTACACTTCAACTAGAGAATGCTGCCGATCATTTGGCCACTTGTAGTTGGTCCGAACTGAAATAGTTATACAATGGAACGTTGCAGGTGAACATATCAAGCGAGAAATCAGTCAGATTATCCTCTTACTTGCATTTTCTCTTTCAATCATCGCCTACGTTCTCGTTCATTATTATCCGGTCACGCTGAAAGGTTTCCAATCATTCCGGTCCTATTCACATTGAATTAAATCAATTTTCGCAAATTTAAAAACAAATCATTGAATTGAAAAGTTTTCTGCAATGTTTATATGCAATGGTCAATATCAGTGAAGTTCAAAATATTGAGAAAGCCTACTAGTGCAGTAATGTTTATCGCATGTTCATTTGAAACAAATCCGTTGGAGTGTTGATGAAGATATATCAGATTGTGGGTATTGAATGTTAGAATTTGCAAACAATTTCCACATCGACATGCACTTGTTTCCGAATACTTCAGTCGTACTGCCCTACATGATCCGACGTCGAAAGCGGTTATTCGGTAGATTCGTGCTGATCACTTTCCATCGGATAATTGACATCACTTGTGCATTATTCTTTGCTGCATCTGCGGTTGAGCATGTTTGTGAACATTTTGTTGATTATTTGCATCTGAGCTTCGATTTACTTCTTCCATTCTCACCTCATTCTACTTCATATGCAGAAGTGTGCTCTAGCTAATAGTAAAGCAACCTGTGGTTAAAGAGGTTCATCTGTTCCTCAAAGCTCAAATTCGTTTGTTTCCGTATATCTGATTTCGAAGTTTGGGATCAATGGTGTGAGATCAGTTCTGAAAATTCTAGGTTTGAGAATTTCCAAAAACAAAATCCCATCCGTTTCATAGCATTCTAAACGAAACATCAGTGTGAATGCATAGATATTGGCTTGAGAATAGCACACTGATTCCTTCGTATGATATTTTTTGATTTGATCCAAAAAGAAATCTCTTCAAAATTTAGTGAGTATGACTGTTGAGCTGTTCATAAAATTTTAAGGTTTCATTGCTGAGTATACCACAAATGGTATGTGCCATATTGCTTTGTCTCGAAGAAGAAGAAATACCCGCTGACACGAAGCACATTTTGTGTATTGCAATGGGACTGTACATACCGCTGATCAATGTTACACGCCTATCGTCCGTTGTCTATAACGGTGTGGTAACCGATTTGGGGACAGACGATACGCAATCGAGTGCTAAGAAATGGCTTTACTGGACTGGTCTTATATCACACTATCACTCACCAACCGTATATTTTTGTTCATTTGTTTTCGTATTTCAAGGGACAATACCCCAGTCTACCAAATGGTTTCCCTGGATCGCAAAATAAGAAATATACAGGATTTGCAAACCAGAGCATTTATCCCATGACATGAAAATATGAAAGGTGCTGCAGATATTGATAGATCACTTCAAACGAGTCTTTGGAATCCTAAAATTCGTCATGTCATATGCCCTCATTAGCGATGATATCGTCGAGATTCGATGTATCGCAGTTGCAGGTTGCTGTTTTGTGTCTGATGGCGATACATCTTCGATCAATTGTCGAAGATATATACAATAAATACAGAACACTTTATCCGGACCACGATTGCGAATTACAGTTCCCAAAGATTAACTACAAGAATTCAAATGATGCGACCGTGAACTTGATCGCATTTTATATCAATTACGGACATTATAAACTTGGATTTGAGGTACATGAATTCCTAATCAATGAACTGATGTGACCAACATGTTATGGTGTGATGGACTTTCACGGTACTTAAAGATAATATCGATGATAAATTTTCACTAAAATTCGGAACAGCCAAACGTCGAATGCTTTATAAACCGAAACTTAGCTACAAGGGACGCCGAGTTTCGATAAAGCTTGAATTACCCGGCTCTAATTGTCATTTGGGAGCAGAACATTAGATTCTCATTCGACATTCGGGGGTTGAGACCGAGTCCAGAAGTAGTATGGGCAATATCTTGAGCGATAGCATTGGTAGCTTAAATCGGCATTAAGTGATCAGTTGAAGTAGTTGAATTGCTACAAGTTAGATGTTCTGATAAACTACAATTCAATGCTGATGAAAGATAATTTCTTTCTTTTCAAGGTAACTTATATGTGGAAATAAAAGCACTTTCGATTCCATTCCAGGTATATAACGTATTCTGGCTGATTTCAATTATCATATCAGTGAACATTTTATCACTGCTTTCATTGGTTTTGTTAATGGTAACAATTGTGATGGATCGATCGCAGCTAAGACGAATTTTCTTTTCATTCGTCATTTTTCATATAATTATATTCATCTATCAATTTATAGCTCATATTGGTGCATTACCAAGTCATCGTTACGGTAAATTCGTTTCGTACATTCGCTCAAATTAAATCCCTTCGCAGGAATGTTCTCTGTTCTATCGTCTGTCTGTTGACAAACGATAGATCAAAATGCCTGACTAAGCTTGAAGCATAAAACAAGAGGGAATCCTTCGCTAATCCACCTAGGAGAAGCCTCGTTATGCGGGATCTTTTATCAACTTGATCTCTTCTGTATTCTTGGCTTTCCCAGCTAATCTTCACATCCTTACACGAGCAGATAATGAACGTCTGTTAATAGAGATACACAGAGCTCAGTTTAAAACAAGCGAATAAATATTTGAGATTGTACGATCACAAGTCTATTATCAGTNTTTTATCAACTTGATCTCTTCTGTATTCTTGGCTTTCCCAGCTAATCTTCACATCCTTACACGAGCAGATATTGAACGTCTGTTGATAGAGATACACAGAGATCAGTTTAAAACAAGCGAATGAATATTTGAGATTGTACGATCACAAGTCTATTATCAGTTCAATGCCACATTTTATCAGCATAATATAGCCGCTCTAATTGGAAAAATGCATCCTCATCATTGTTTCGCTGTTATACGTCAAAGTTATAAATTCTTTGAGTTTTCAGAAACGTTCCTTCCACCAGAATATGCACCATATTTGGCTTTATTCAACAGTGGACACCTACTTAAAAATCCATTCGACCTACCAATATTCTTCTATTTTTTAAATGTGGTACTATCAATGATTCAATACAAACTGTTCAAAATAGAAGTAAGAGTTTCCACTCATACGGTCCAATGCTGCGATAAATTTGCATATTCAATAGCAACATTAACACATTTTACAATATCCTGTTCATATGACCAGACAAAGGTTGCGATGCAAATGTTACATCATCATGACTGATGAAATCGAACGAGTTCGCTGATTTTGCAGTCACAGAACGACAAAAGTTACGGAGGAGGATCAAATGACGGTGTGTTCGAGCGCGGAATCGACAATGAGCCGTTCAAAACAAATCCAATTGTGAATTTCTATTCGCAAGATGCAAGGTAGAAGAATCTCGTTGAAAATTTGACATCCGATCGGAATTTATGCGCACCAACTGTTCGGGATTCTGTTTTTGAGTAACTGGAGAGTAAGGAATGAGTAAAAATTTACGAGTTGATGACATTTTCCAGACTGTTTCTCGATGAAGTTAAGCAATGCGTCTTCTCATACTATCATTGGCTTGTGCTGTTGCTACTGTTTTCGAACGGTATTCGCATGTCGTCACCAGTATTCCTCTCGATTGGTCACATAATTTTTGCGTTTCTCAATTTCTGGCGTGGCACCGATTTGTATCTATCGTCGCTATATGTATTTCGTCGAAAATGGCGTGTTATCACACTTTATCTTCTCGGTACTCTCTTGCTGCAAATTTCGGCAAATGTAAGTCTTCTTTCAGAGTTTTGTCAATCCGATTAGATTACCTTGAAGTGCTGTTCAATTTTATCATTAACTTGAGTGAAAGTATTAGATTGTGAACAATACTCAGTAAATGCAATATTGTGGTATCAATATGTGGTATTGTGGTATTGTGGTATCAATATGCAATATTGTGGTATTGCGGTATCACGGTCTCTTGTTTTTGTATTGTGAACAATACTAAAACAAGAGACCGTGATCTGAGGTTAACTTTTACCGTTTGAAAAAAAAAACAACTGCATTCTAGAAAAGAGATGGAGAAACAGCGGTTGATGGAATCAATGAGAAGTAACTCAAACGAATTAAACCAAAAATATTTTCTACAGCATAAGCATAATCAACAATTCATTTTGAATTTTCTTTTTGAAAGCACTTCGTAATCACATGCTATTGACATGCTTCCGAGATGTTGTTTATGCTCAGATAGCGCGAGCGATATTGGATGAAATGGTCATATCGAAAAGCAACAATCAACGAATTATTGCGATATGTCGTTTGCTCAATGTTTATTTCAAAAAACCTGGTGAAGGCGTTGTGGATCCTATTGGTAGGACGTTCTCATTGATAAATTTCAAAGTTTGGGAGATAACTCGACAACATCGTTGCTCTACTACAGATTATTTACTGAAGAATGATCGCAGTAAAGTGATTCATTTCGAAAAAGAAAAATTTCTCAAAGTATTTGTTGAGGATACATACGAATCGCTTATTAAAATAAGCGCTTTGCTTTTATAATAGTCCTGATCGTGATTTGTTATGAAATGGTGAATTGCCTCTTGCTGCAGTGCATGACAATGTTGTTTTCGTTTAGGTCCATATGAAACCATCGACGTAAGACCGTATTCGTTCGATGTTATCATATTCGCGGCTCTTCTGCTCCATTTGAGAATGATTGTCACATGGTAGGTTCCCGTTTGAATTGCTATCAACACTTACCACTTTTATTGACGCTTTATT